TAAAAAAAAAAAAAAGAAGAAAAGAAAATCGGGTCGAAAACCCGTGTGACAATCGCAATCGATCGATTTAAAAACTTTTAAGTATTTTAATATCTATGGTTTTTTTTTATCCGATCGGATGTCATAGAGTATAAAAACTTTTTCTTGCGCTCTTCTCAATGATATTTCTTAAAATTATTTTCCAATTGATCGATTTAATTTGCATAAGATGAAGAATAAGAAAAAAAATATAAAAAAAAAATAGATGACCTTGCATATCATTTTTATTATTATTATTATTACTATCATTATTATTATTATTATTATTATTATTATTATTATTATTATTATTATTATTATTACTATTACATAGAATAATTGAAAAATAATAATAAATTTGTTTGTACTTTTGTCGTTGTTTGTTCGAACAAATATTATATTAAAAAAAAAAAAATGATAGAAAATATTATTGGATATATCTCGACGTACAGAACAATTCGAACCATTAAAATAATAATAATAACAATAAAATTATTATTATTATTATTATCATTTTCGAAATTGTAGTTAAAAAGTAATAAATTTTTTTTTTTTACCACCGTAAGTAATAATTACAATACGGTAAGGAAAAAAAATTTATTTTTTTTTATTATTAAATTTTCTTACGGTTTTATATATTCGGCATATTTACATGTTTTAGAGGAAACGCCATTAAAAGGAATTTTTTTCTTTTAATGTATATTTTTATTTTTTACCGCCATTTTCTTTTTTTTTTTCAACTTAGACGAGTCAGTCACTTAAATTTGATTTTAAATGTTTTATTAACTATAAAAAGAAAAAAAAAACGCATTTATTTTTTTTTATTTTAACGGTTTGTTTTTTTTCGGTATGTAACTCATATAATATTTATTCGGTATCAAAGTGTGGGTGGGTGCGTGGGTGTGAGTGGTTGTGTGCGCGTACGTGTAAAACATTATTTAAAAAAAAAAAAATTCGGCATGTTTAACAAACGATTATGTACATATGTTAAGGTTTTTTTATTGTTTGAAAATGTATCGCAAAAATAATTTTTTTATATATCGAAATATTTTTACGATCGTTTAAACCTGTTTTTTTTTTTTTTCAACGTGTCGTTTTTACATCCCCTTATAAACTCCCGGAAACGGAAAAACTATTTTTCTCTTAAATTTTCCTCTCCTCTCTCCCTCTCTCCCACTATTCCTTTTTTTTTATTTCTTCTTAATGTCAAATTTATGTAACCGTAAACTCGAAAAACAAAACAAAACTAATGGAATTTTTTTTTTCCCCTTTTAACGATGATGATAATAATAATTATCATTATTGTTATTATTTACATAAAAATAGAAACGTTATTAAAAAGTAATTTTAATAAATAAATAAATAAAATCTTATTGATATTTATTTATTAATTTTTTTAAAAAAATAATTTTTACCGAAAAAAAATGAATAAGTAAAATGATAATGTTTAGCTTACCATAATTTTTTTTTTAACTTGAATTCCTTCTCACGTTTATTAGTCACTTTATATCACGTTATTAATTATTATTATTATTATTATTACGACGTCGATAAATAAATAAATAACGACGAATGTTATTTATTAATAAAATTAAATTAATAAATTATTTTTAAAAAAGAAAAAAAATCACCGAATGTTTTTCTTTTTTTTTCCACGATATTATTTTACACGAAAAAAAACTCCCCCACCCCCTTGTGTGTGTGTGTGTTTTTTTTTACACCCTCGTGAAAAATTTTCAAAATTCTTACCCTTTTACTATTACTACTACTACCACATAAACTATTTCCGATTAAATAACGTTCGTAATAAATAAATAAATTATGTATTTATTTAAAAAAAAAAAAAAAAAATTTTTTTTTTTGAAATGTTTTTATTATTATTATTATTTTCTTTTTTTAAAGAGAGAAATATATGTACGTAAGTGTTATTATTATTATTAATTTATTTATTTATTTTTAACGAATCCGTTACGAGAAAAATTAAACAAAAATTTTTAATAGAAAAAAATAAATAAATAAAAAAATTCAAAAAAAAAAAAAAAAAACGAAACCACCGGATTCGTGAAAATTTCCCTTTAGTACGAGAAGACGATCGAAACTGTCAGGATAGTAAAGGGGAACACACCCCCTGTGAAAGATTTTGAATGCGCGTGCTTCGAGATGTTACTTGGTTTTACTTCTTTTTTTTTTTTTTTAAACTTCGGATGAAGAGTCGAAAGTGGTGGTGGCGGCGGCGGCGGCGGCGGTGGAAGCGGGGGCGTAGGAGGGGAGGGGGCGAAATGAAAAAAGAGCGTGTAAAAATTCGGAGGACAGATGAATCAGTCGCCGTTTTTTTTTTTTAAAATTATTTTAGGAGAGTCTGCTATTCCTCTCTCTCTCTTTTTCGTTATCTCTCTTTGTTTCCGTAATTATTATTATTATCATTGGTTTCGACGTTACGTCACTAGATTACACACACGCGCGCCCACACACACACACACACACACACAATATCATGACGCGTCGTGCGAAATGACGATGACGACGTCGATAAAAAAAAAAAAATTTTAATTTAAATTTAAATTCGAGGGGGGTGGGAGCGGAGGCAGGAGAGGGGAGGAGAGGGGGTCGACAAAAATATTTCGATCACGAATTATATAATTTAACTAAACCCTTCTCGTTGGTGAAAATATTCTAGAAAGTTAATTAATAATTGTTAAGACATTCCAGAAGTTCTTACAGAAATTTATATTGTAATTAGATGAACTGTTGATAATTTTACTATGTTGTAATTACCCTCTCCCTCCTCTCCCCTCCCCTCCCCTCTCT